TGTATTTTTTTTTTAAATTGATCAGTAGTCTAGTCACGTAGACCTATTCACAATAAACAAATAAAACATCGTGAATAAAACTTAAGTAGAAGTTAAAGCCAGGTCATTTTATGCTGTTGGGATCTTATAATCGGTCTTTGCTTTTATCCGATTATTTCTCCAACTATAGGGTGCAGCATTATATTATTATTTTTTTTTAGGAGTGAGCACCAATTTGCCCCCAAAAATTTTTTTAATGGTTCAAATAATTCACTATGACCATTCTGTTTATCCGGTTTATTTATTTATCATCTCTTCTTTTTATTTATTTATCTTTTGATAATTCGTCATTCTCAATATGCAATGTCATATAACCATTCTAATAATATCTGAGACTTTTGATATAACATCTTTAATGTTGTCAGACCTAGTACTATAAAAAAATTGCTACATGTTCTATGCTGTTAATACCAGGCGTGCCAAGTACTCTTAGTACTGAAGCAACAAAAAATTCAGGTTGCGCTTTTTTAATGATCAAAGCAGGTTGGAATTAACGAAGCGGGTAAAAGCAAAAAGCCACCAACTCATTCATCATTTTTCTCGAGCAGTTCTTCCTGATTAGAGTTGATGGAGGAACATTTTGGGCGGAGATTTCTTCCATCATAAAGCAGGCGTCATACTTGAACGTTATGACACGTTCTGCCCCGCATGACAATGACTCAAGTTGGGTGCATTTCCATATATCTAGACAGTACAATATACATTTAGTTTGAGTTAGATGACACTGGATAAAATAAGGCCTTTTATTTGCTTCCAACTGCGCCGCGATCAAGCTTTTTTTCTATCTCTCTCTTTCTCTCTTCCCCGACATTACACCAAGAAAAGAAAGGAAAATAAAGAAAAAAATAAGAAATAAAAACTTGATGCTCTCCAACAATTCCCCAGTATTATGTGTTATTTTTCGAGTGAAATACACCGATTGCACTCACGTAAAGGTTACCTACAGCAGGAGTCATAAAACACAATTGTTCACTCTCTTTCCCTTGGAAACTGGAAGGCAATAACAGCGGATGAATATCCTGCATCGCCGGAAGTTCTTCCGACAATGTCATCCTTATTTCTTGTGCAGGATCACAACACTACTAAAGAGGTCAACTTTTTAGTGGTTTGGTTGAAGAAAAAGGCCACTGGAGTCTGTCTAGTGGCGGGACTCCTGTCTATTTCTCTGTAATAACCTATATCGTATATTGTTATATATTGCCCAAGTTAAAGAGAGTCAACAGTACTCAAGTTGAATCCGTACAAAAATGATTTAAGCTAGGTATTTTGATAATTTCTATATTTCTACGACTTTATTTTAAATGCCAGGTAACGGAAATCGGCGTACTCTTGTGACCAAAACCATTGGGTATTAAATCAAAAGGATTAACATCAAATTAAAAACTGAAAAATAGTTCCCTTCTGTTAATCAATAGGCCCTTATAATGGTGTCCAATATTTTTGGTAATTACATACAGTTCGTAGCTTTATCACAAACTTCCCATAAGAGCCGGTTTAAGAAATATACTTGAAGGTTTCAAGTTACACAATATATTTTTTTCAAATGCTTTCAGAAATATATTTTTTTAAATTTTGGGTGCCGGTCAGCTTTGTTAAAGAAACACTTTGGAGATAAGATCCGATGTCGGAAAACATTGCTTCTAAAAACAAATTCACTGCGCTTACAACGTTTTAAATGTTCATAATTTCAATCCTTGCAAACAGCTGCAGCGTTTTTTTCGTCTGTAAAATGATATCTTTGATTGCCCTGCGTATAAAAATACTTTTCAAAAACTGGTAGTGTTTTGGCCTTAAAAATTCGAAAGTTTTGCCTTTAATGCGTGACTTGTGTAGAGACAACATATGTGCGCAGTGTCTGACTACATTCTGACTACAGGATGCGCTAGTAGTCTGTTGCACAAAATTATTGTATCGGTACCTGTATCAGTGAATAAATTTTGTATACTATTTTAGAGGACCCTGATATTTAGAGGGGGCGCGGTGTCGTATTGGGGTTTACCGTGAAGTGTAGCCACTTTATGGGAAATTTACGACATACTTCTTCGTATCTTCCCAACTTAAATGCCACACCCAATTACTGTCATTTCAAGAGCTAACAACGGGTAAAGCATGTCTTCCGTTCGTTGCACTAGATTTCACCAGAGTTTTCGTATTTTGCCGAGACGATTTATTGCTGTATTACTAATAGGACGAGTCGTTATTAATAATGTCAATTTCGCTGAAAATCACTGTGGTCTCCCGCATTTCCGATTTTTATCACAGTAACTGCAACCTAGCAATGGACGACCCAAAGCATCTCGCCATGGAAAAACTTGCTCGATACTTATTTCAGATATTAAAAATTGCATTACGACATAAGCAGTACAATTCTATCACAGCGTGACTTGCGATGCGAACTTACGATTCACAAATGTCAAGTCAATTACTGCTTGTGGGGTGATTTTTTCTCATTTTTTAAACATTAGGTCCCATTTTTACACATACATTATCACATAATAATCAAGACAATGTTATGTTTTATATTGCACCAGACAGACGGCGGCCAAGTCAATAACTCTCCAATGTCATAAGCAACTTTTCGCTTGTAAACTTTCATATGTTTCAAAATAACTTGCTCCTTAATACGACAATGTTATAGTTCCTAACTCAGCGTGGTATCCGGCATATCTTCTTTGCCGGGCAACATTGCTCTGTACGTGCTCCGGGCACCTGTGGATTCGCCACTCCAACTGATTCAAACTTCAAGCACTGTATTGCGTATGGGCCATATCAAGGCCCCATATTACAGATATTGCTTTTGTCCAAGATTTGTCCTTATTTTTTTTTTAAAAGAAAGACGGTTGTGGAAAATTCAGATGTTTTATTTACCCTGAGACACAGCGTAAAAGGTACATCAGCGTGTCTTTTTTAGAATGTTTATAGTGTTTTTGATTTATTCGAATTGTTACTCTTCTTTAAATCTGTTATATGCGTTTTGTTTCGGGTTGCGTGCTCTTTTACATAATTAGCACTTGCAGCAATAACGTGACTTGCGTTTGCTAAAGACATTGTTTACATCTAGCATTGCAAGATAAACTGAAAGTTATTAAACATCAAAGGATCAGGACTGTTACTTCCTTACTTCATTTCGGTAAAAAAAGTCGAAACTGAAAACAAAAATGTATTTGAACCCAGTAACCCCGAACCGGAGAATAGGTCAAAAGTGCTCAAGACATCTTCAAAATGAAACCTGAGCTTTTTGTTTATATTTAGATTGTTATGACTTTATGCATCGTTAGAATTTTTAAATTAAACGGCAATGCAGTAATGAACACGGCAGAATGAGGGTTCGCAAGAGAAGGCTTAGCTTACGAGGTAAAAACTAATACATGTAATAGTAGTCAGTTTCCGAAGGGTAGTCTTCGAAGGACCAGGGTTAAAAAGGTCGGGTACACATCGAATAACGGAAATACTCGCAGAAAGCCGTAATTTGAATGGGTCGTTTTCAAAAAAAAAAAAAAAAAAGTATACATGTAAGAGAACACGATTGGTTTGATTTTTGTCCTTTTTTGGTTGTCATCCGACGACGGTTTCGTTTCATGATGCAAATACCCGCGAACAACCTCCGGTCTGTTGCTGTGGGGTTCTGGCCTCGTGACTCGTGAAATTTGTTTTGGCAAAAAGTAACGCGTTGGGCAGCACCTGCACCAAAAGGAGTTTAAATGAAGACACGAAAAAACCCAATGCGAGGTTAACATTTTGTTCATTTTCCAAGGCGAATGCCAGCTCTTCACGAGATTGCAGCCCACCCCCGCGCACCCCGGGGTCAGCTCTATGCATGTTCCTTCTTCTTGTTTGTCAATATCTGCCGCTGCTATATGCCATTATAAACTAAACTTAAAATAAACTTGGATACACTTTAATATCACGCAATGATACTTGGAAATTTACCAATACAAATATTCCACGAGGAAGGAAGAGGCACGAAAAAAACTTTTTAAATCGAAACCGAGGTCCCTGATTGGAGGAGAAGACAGTGTGAGTCGCTTGTCAACAAATCCTCCAAATTCTCACGGCGTCCACAGCTGTTGAACTAGTTCTGCATGATTCAACACCTGTTGTGAGCCTTCAGCGAGGAAAGAATGCACAACCCACCAAAAGACGTAAAAATTTAAATAGAAAAATGGGTTAAACCACAAATATTGCATTTGCGTCTGTAATCCGATGTTGATGATTTCATTGCTGAATGTTTTCATCTATATTTCATTTCTAATTTTATATCAACGATTAAGGCCATTAAGCACGGCGTGTAAAGAACAAAATTGAATTACCTATTATGTTGATTAGAAAATAGAAGTTAGAAATAAACATGAACACCCCATTTCCCCTGTTTATGATATCACCAGGCGCCAAAGAAACAGAATTCCAGATTTTAGTTTCGACGATAGAATTGAAAGGACAACCCGTCCCCGAGGCAGGTAAGAGGTGAGAGGTGAAGACACCCCTACGATAACATGGAGTAACACCTGACAACGAGCATGTAAAACTCCGTAATGAAATTTCGGGGACTGGTTGTAAATTGAAATCAATTGCTCATTATACACTACTCTAAACTTAATATTCCAACGAAAACACGAAGAGATAATTGCGTACGTGGGAAAATGCGGAAGTCACGTCATTTGACTTAGTTAGAAAATTCCACAGGCAGCAATGTGAAATGCATGACGCACGTTGAGGTATAAATCTTTACCAAAAGCCGAAAGTACTTCATTACTTAAAGCTTTAAAAAAAATTATCTTTGCTTATTAATCTCGATTCTGAAAGAATGAAAAAATTGGGTAAAAGAAATAGCCAGTGGTTATTTATACCACTTTCGCCCATTTGTTATTTCTCTTTCTTTCTCTCTCTCTCTCTCTTATGGGTAACCTACTGATGTGATTTCAGCTTACGTAAATAATAAACAATAACGATATACCGTTCTATAACAAGATATTTACATTTATTTATATCATTAACAACTGGATGGACAAGACCGATAAGATTATTTCTTAAATAAACAATACCTAGATAATACTAAACATCTCATACTGACTTATTAACTTTCTAAATATAAACATTTGGCTATAAACCAAACTCTACCAACATAAAGATGTGCATTTCAGATGAAAATCAATGTAAGTTGATGCTCTTTAACTAAATTACATATTACGCGGGAAAATTTTGCTTTTAGCGTGCTGTATTTTCAATGTCTGTAACACGAATTCACATCTTTGACGTAAAGCACCAATGTATAGGGAAAAACTTGCTTAAACATGCAAAAAAGTAGCACCTTTCATTTAATACTAAAGATACACGTTAGCAGCTCACATTTAAAGACTTGGCACTGAATCACAAAAACTCCTTTCAGGATTAATTATTTAATTTGGTAAAAAAAAATTCAGTCCACTGACCGTTTTACATAAAATCTATATATCTCTTCGGGATATCGCAGGTTTGTATCCTTAACATTTATACTAAGTTAATACCTATTTTATACAAATTTAATCCAGTGTGTTAATGAGACACTCATTACCTTGGTAGCTTTTATGATAATATATTAAAAACAAATATGGCACAATGATTCACTTTTATCTTTATAATAAGGTTGAAAACATCTAATGTTTTGGTTGAAAATAAAACCCATTTCTCTTTCACACACTCATACATACCCACACGCACGCACAGTCACGTTCTCATCCGCATAACGTAATTCTTGATAAATTCTACGAATGATCATCTACTTCTACGTAAATAGAGTTCAACCTCGGGACGGTTTTACCTGAGCGGGCTGTACAATTTGGCACAATATGGCGGCTGACATATTATATATCTATGTAACTGGTGTACGACAAGTTACATTGCAATTAATTTACCTAATCTCTTTATACCTCTTCAGTCTGGTATAAACTACTGATTTATATAACTATAAATGCTACTTACCAGGAACCCTCTATAGGTTCCAAAAATATTTACATCTTATATCGGTATAAAATAATTACATGTGAAGTAATTCATAAAAGAAGTATGAAAACTGCATGTACATGTGCTTTACAATTTAAATGAACTAAATGTGTTTCTTTTATAGAGGGGTTTACGAAAGGTTTAAAAATAGATTTCAATTTAACGAGCTCTTATGTATATAAAAAACTAAATAAATAAATTTGGTACTTTTATACACGTACTATTTTTGGTAAGTTTAACAAAAAGGCTGTGGATGAACATTCGTTGTAAATAAATCTAAAAAGAAAAATGGGTTACGATATTTCTTAACTAATGACAACGTAATGATAAATCTCTGGGATGTAAAATAAAAATTAAATAAGCAATTTCATATTATTGCCAGAAAAAGAAAAGGGATAAAAAGCCTACACGTTCTACAAAGCAGGCACTGTCTAAGGCAGGATGCCATTTCCGTTAATTGCATGCCCTTCCCGACCTTCTCGTTAAGTCTAAATCTCCGAACATCCTCGTGTTAGCCCAAGCTTAGCACCTTCGCAGGCAGAGATTAATGTAATGGCTGAGATGAAAAAAAAATGAGACGCTCGCTTATACACTAATCTTCTTGTACAATACTACGTGAGGTCTACCCGGACCTACCCGTTAGTAAAACATTTGTATATAAATATCTTTACACAAAATAATCTATCATGTGGAGTTACCAACACTCAGTGAAACCTCAGTGTAAACCTCAGTGCCTTTTTCCCCCGGAGGAAGTTTACAGTTGCACCGCGCCAAAGGTTCGATTCAACGGTGTGTTTACAGTTCGCGAGTAATCTCCGCTTTATCAACATCATTTGCCTTAAAGTTTTCATTTTCTCACGTTTAAGCGTTCCTTGTGTCACTGGAGGCGGGCACGGCCGTGCCGTGTGACACGTTAGGGTTACCATCGACGCAAAAGACATACAAATAACTCCATGGTAGGTAAACACAGCTGTGCCTGGCTGTACATTCGCGTTGTTGAGTCGACCGGTAGGGGGCTAACGCACGCAGTTCCGACCTTGACAACACTCCTCTCTTGGACCTCTGCACCTGGGGAAATAAGAACAAGAATACTCAGTTGATGAAGCCAATTAATCTGTCCAAGTGTTCTGATATAACTGACTATTGTTTTGCTTTCCTATAACCAGCCGCACACCCGAGGTTAATTCGTGCAAAGAATAACGTTTATCCACTCGCTAAAATAACGGTGATCTTTAGAATGTAAATTTACCAGGGTTCGACGCGGGGGCTAGGCAGAAGCTGGCAGCGAATAGGTACACACGAGAGAGAGATTGAGAGCTTTTGGTGCACTTGCTCTGTAGATTAGTGCTTACAGGAAACACCTCTCTCTTTCTCTCTCTCTCTTTCTCAAAAATTCCCTCCCCAAAACCATTAAATCCTATCATCATCTTCACAGTGTTCTTTAATATCATAAAATGAAACAAACCACTTTCATATATTGAAGGGAAATTCATACTGTTTCTTGTATATAAAGTGCATACAAGCCATGTCAAACTCCAATGAAACCAGTATATTTCTAATATGTAAATATTTAATCTTGAGGTTGCTATTGTAGAAACAAATTATAGTAATTACATTGTTTCAACTTTACAGCAGTTAGGACTACTACACGGCATCACACAACAATATAGCACAGCTCTAATCTGTAGCAGACATTAATACGTCATCTAAACTCACGATTAGTTATTTTCCCTTCTTTTTTATTGTGTTTAAACAATGCATTACATAGTTATTTATACCCAGGTGATACAATATTATTCTAAAAATCATAGGCCTACCTAAAAAATTCAGAGCAGTTATCCTAAAAGCCCCTCTCTAAGAAGGGCTTTAAACAAACTTCCTCGTACAGATGAGTTACATTTATTTTGGCATTCTGTATGTATTTCATTTTTTATACAAGTTGATGGTATATGGATTATGATACCCGTTATTTTAGTCTGACTTAAAAATAGGTGTTAGACTACACTCCAAGACTACCCTCCAAACAGGCTTACATAATGTACCAAGTGCCTTACCAGATATTGCATAACAAATTAAGCTTGACATATTCTGTCTGAGCAGTATAAGTACTACAGACAGAACGTCGAAACCAGGCAATGTGTGTGTTAGAGATTGTGCGCGTGTTTGCGTGTGCGCTCGCGTGTGAACGAACGCTGCCTCTTACCCAGACAAAAAGTCCTATTGTCAATAATGATCAAAGGCTTTGACAAAATAAACTAGACACATCGTTTTTACAAAATGAAAAGGAGAAAGAATGGACAAACTTTGTGATTTTGCGTGTGCGTGTGTGTTGTTTCAATACGCACTGAAAGCAACGGGGAAGTTTTAAAATAGACAGACGTCTTCTTTGCAAGTAGGCCTACGTAATGTACCGAAAGAATTGGCATATAAAAAACGCCACAGACATATGGTCCTCATTACTACCAACTTGAAAGCAGAGACCTTCCACACCTCCATGGTGTATTTTAATCGGAGCAGGTGTTACTAAAGAACGCGGGGAGGCGGCTAAGGATGACAGTAATTTATGATGTTGAAAATTCTGGATTGTGACAAACATTTAACCCATCGCAAAGCGTATTGTTTCGTCCAGCATTCTGGAAAATCCACTCTAAAATATGCCCCACTGTCTCACAAGCTTCGCCCTTCAACCATCGCCTTCTGCGACTCGCGTGTTTGAAATAAAACATGTGGAATGAATTGCGTTAAAGCGAGCAAGCATCTGTCGACAGATCTATATCTCGACTAGTAAACACAGAAATGTTATGTCAAAATATTTACTGCTATTAGTAACTCGCGATTTGACAATTTATGTCGCTTCGAGTCGAAGGGCACAGGCAGTCAGCGGCTACTGTGAAAATCATTTTTAGACGCGGAACGTGCATTACTTACGTTATTAATTTAAGTCTTGTTAACAACCGCGCTCTATGCTTTGTAATGTGAGTACTCACGCACAACAAGTATGTACCATCCTATTTACAGTTTAAATTTGAAACAACCACAGGTAACAGTGTAAATGAACCAGGAAACACAGTATTTCCATATTACTGATAAACGTAGAGTAATATTAATAATTATTACTACATTCCAAACATATTTCATTGACGTTTAAACCTTATCAAACAACGTAAAGAATGCACCGATTAATATCAGTTTTCCCGACTTTATGCGTGCGGCTGATATCACAGAGCCTCGCACAAGAGCAACACTGATTTTGACATTATGAGTACCCGAGAAAAGTGTAACATGCACTTCGGGAAGCGTGAAAAATGTTGACCTTTCCAGAAATTCCTTAAGTATCAAACTAGACTTCTCTTTTACCTGGAAAAGTATGTTAGCATATCTTTAACAAGTGTCTTTAAGATCCAAGATCCCGTATAACAAAATATTCCATGAAAACAGTTGATGATCCCGAGTCGGGCCAAATCCTTTGAGCGAACGTTTTGAATGCTAAACTTGATGGTCATAATTTAATAGTCATATCATGTCGTCAGCTATTATACAATATAATATCAAACAAACATACATAATTTTAGCCCAAAAGTCTGCTATTTTTAACCGTGTAATGTGGTTTTATCAAGAACAGTGTATAAAATACAAAATTTGAAGTGGAGAGTTCAGGATTCAGGATTCATTTGAAGGCGGGGCGGCGGTAGTGCCTACAGCAGTACAAAATTCCAATAAAAAGGACTTCTCATATTAAACGGGCACAAAAATAGCTGTCGTAATTTCTACTTTGAACTACCCAGTGCACCATCTGCACAATCTATTTCTTCAATCCAAGATGAACACTAATGGGGAAACGAAAAACGATTTGTCACGCCTCTTAGCCAGAGAAGCACCCAAAGTCAAAGCTGTATATTCTATTTTCTCCACATTGGGGCGTATCGCATCACTAATAAACAACAGGGTATCGACCCCGCGGCTGATGGTAAACCTATCAGAGAACCCGCCCGGAACGCCCCTTCACGGTCTTTGTGCACTGATTGCACTCCACCCCTTCCCGCTTATACATAAGAAACACTTTCCAACCGGATCTAGATGATGGATTCCGAGAACTACCTAGCTATCTGATTGTCTGCTATCATGTCATCTGGTCATTCATTCTTATACCTTTCTTCCAAAAATTTATCATTTAAAACGGATTCAATCTTTCAAACCAGAAATCTGGGTAACTTGCTCAATAAGAGAATTATTACAATAGAATTCTTCAACCAAATCAAACTATGCTTAGGGTTTGGATTTCAGTCACCGTGCTAGAACGGGCTGTGCTGTATTATGAATATGGGCTTGAATGTGCAACGTAAGCCTTTCAAAGGCACCACGAATTTCACTTCAGAAGCCACTGGAAACCCCCTTCTATACACAATATGCTGGTAAACTACAGAAGGGTATGTTGAGGTCTGAGGTGAGATTCCAGTGACCTCAAAAACTCGGGGTGGTAAGACAGAGCTGGAAAGTCAATCAGACTGGAGGGCATCAGTTTACCTTGAGTGGATCGAATAATCAAAACATTGACAATTCTACGCATTACAAGGGGCGTGGAAGTTTCACTGTTGTATAATATGTACCGTGGCATAAGCCTGCTCGATCTTGGGTGAAAGTTGTGACGCTAAATATTTATCTGTTTACTCAATTCATTTATTGGTGTATCTATTGTCTTTGGTGCATTTTGCGATATCTCCTAGCATTTTGGCATGGGAAATGTATCCACCACTCTGGGCGGCTCTATTTTTTTTTTTTTTTTTTTTGGGGGGGGGGACCCCAAAACAAATTATCTGACAATTATTCGATAATTTCGAAAAGTTTCCTCTCCATTTTAGGACATAAAGCTAACGCCGGCTGGATACCAAAGACTAAACCAAGGTTTGGCAATTCTCCATTGGCATAGCGAAACAGGTTGACAGAAAGGGGGTGTTTTTGATATCCAATTAGCAAGATTTTTTCCCACTAATTAGCCCCACGTGATTTCATCATGCAATTTCAGAACGGTCAATTTCATCAGATGAAATAAAAACATCGAAATTCGAGAGCATGCATACAGGCGTTTGAGGGTGGTGAACTATGTTCGTGACGATCGGAATTTTGTATGGAAAGGTTGTAACAAACGCCTCCGTAGAGGGGTTTTGAAAGAATTTATGAACGAGATGAAATTGATATTTGGGCATTCAAGAAAAAACATCGAAAACCCAATCTAACTCCGTTCTCCTTTGACGTGAAGAATACGTATAACACCCCCTGTTCCCAGAACGTACAAGAACCACACGATGACTACCGCTTGGGTGATTTGCGAGGCCGTCGGTAAATTACCCGTGTTGAACGGCCATCAAGATGGGCAATGAAGGCGTTCGGTTTCTAACGAGCTTCTGTTTCGGTAGGCGGCGATGACAGACCAAAGAGCTGGTTGAAATATCACGCTGGCACCCACCCCAAGCATCACAATAGTCGACTAAACTAGAACAGCGGGAACTGGAGTTGTTAGTGACTTCATTCCAACATTTTGATGATATATAGGGCCTATATTTTGGAGACAATCTGAGAATCATATTGTTGATGTACATACAGACAAGTGGCTGGTTCTGTTAAGATGTCGGTGATGAAAGAGGTTTGCTGATATGATGATGTTCTGAGAATCATGACGTAAATTTATTAATACAACGAGAACCACGGGGCCGGTTGTAAACCAGAAAGTTAGACCAAGAAGTGGTTATTTATTTCTCAACTGTAAAATTCTGTGTACTACAATTCAACATAAATCCGTAATTGTCAACTGTAATTGAGCTTTTATTGAGTTTATAACAATAGTCATGTATTTACTTTATTGCACTGAACTGAAATAACACTGGTTTATTTCGTTGGTTTAATTCAACTATTATTTTTGGTTTAAAAATGAAGTGATTTCTTTGGTGAGACTGGTTCCATTACCTTGGTTTTCTGGCAGTTGTTAATGTAACACTTTTTTACATGACAAGGACATCGAAATTGATTGACTCTCCTTTGAGAACTGCGTATATCTACTTCAACATCCTATT